TGTTGATTGATAGCCTTAATTAAAATTTGACCTTATTCTTTCAAAACTATTATGGCATAATGTTTGTTAGATTTAATATATATGGATCTATTGTAGTACATCCATAAACTTAAATCTAGTCTATAATTTATGATTATTAATATAACGACTAACAAATTTTTATCTAGGGTCTAAGTAACAAATTAGTTACAAAGGCAAATAATAATTGGTGCTTTTTGGTCGTTCTGCATACGAATTTACTCTAATTATAACCATTTTTTAACGATAATTTATTAATTTCTTGTGGTTTATTTTAGAAAATAACCAAACTTTACAAAGGGTCGAGACAAAACAGAAAATGGGAAGCGAAAATTAATTTAATTATAAATGAAATAAGGAAGGGATTACGTGTAGATGTTCTGCTCCAGATCTCTCGAGTATTTTAAATGATGATAATTATGATCAAAAATCGTGATTTGTGCATCAAATAAGAGATGCAGACGAGCGATGAGTGGATTTATCCAGCCATCCGCGAAATTAGGGATAATAAAAGCAATGCTTTATACCCTAAAAGGCATAACTTTTATTTATTGAGTTTGCAACTTGAACCCCAGGTCTATCTACTTTTTACATAATTCCATTGTTTTGAATAACTTGATTTGCATAATTATTTGTCCACTTTGTTTTGAATCGAATCGCCTCATTTACGAAGTTCCAATAGTCAACTTTATTTGATTTAATGTTTTAATTGTTCTTTGTTCGTTTATAATTATTCTTAACGACATTAAGTTCTTCTTTACTCCTTCATGGAAATAAGCTAAGCTAATAGATATCAATTTTTCTTAGGAGTCACAATAATTAATTAAAATTTTTCCTTAAGATTTGTTTCCTACTTAAGTCTAGTCACACAGTAAATTTATTTTTAATTATAATAACAAGGCCTAGATAATTTTTCACACACAAATCAAGCAGCTAAGAGCCTATCCACTAACTCTCTATTAAACTTCATTCTGATTTTCTTTTTAAGCAGGTGCTTCGTTTAAATCTTAAATGATGCTTTTAACATTTATAGATTTGATTTTTAATATATTTTTCCTAAATTAATCCGTACCGAAACCAATTTGAAAAACATAATAAAGTTTAAATATCTATAAATCTTGATGAAAAGACTAATAATAAACTAACTGTAGTGAATAATGATAGGATATTCTTTGATAAATGAGCAAAATGTGATTTTAGACTACTTTAATTATTTAAAATTTTATCGATAATCTTGGTTATTATCGTAACCTTCCGTTACATCGGATCAAATCTAGCACATAAGCGATTCCATAATTATTTTAAATTTTAAGTTTTGTTGAAGATTTTATTAAATTTTAACATAGGAACTTCATAATTTAAGCAGAAATTGTAAACGAACTTATTTATTCCACAACAAAAGCCTTTTTATTATGAGGGATCGTTTGAATTTTTACGAAACATTCTTTAAAGTTAATATACTGGTAACATACTTTAATCGGAACACGCCATTCAAATCATTAAAACTTGATAAATAAATAAAGTCTATCCGTATATTAATAATAACTTGAAAGATGCATTTTATAACTATTTATAAAATTAATTTATATCCGAAGTATTTAGGCTAATTCGATATTGTTTTTCCCTTCAAATATTAGCATAATAGTTCCATAAAAGAAACTTTAATTCGCAATAATTCTTACATAAAAAAGTAATTAAGTTTATCATCAAATTATTATTATTATAGAAAAGGACAACACGTTCAGATCAGAAGATTTAATAAATTAAATATTATTATCATTGAGAATAAAAAACAAAGGATAGGCAAAGAACAAAAATCGATTTTGGCTTTCTGTTAAAAGATAATAGGGCTAAACTTTATACGATTTCTTGTAAGAAATTCTATCAGTATTGACGTCATACTTAAAAAGTTATTTTTATCTATTTTTAGAGAAACTGGTAGAAAGAACCACGAGTCCCGGTCAGTTGCTAGAGGCTGTGGCTAACTCGAAATGCATTCTACAGACGGAGAAAAGCGATCGTAGTTCACCTTCAGATGATGAGTCACCCAAACCGTCAGACATTTCGACGACGGGTGCCTGTTCCGATGGCGAACAGGGCACAGATTCCAAATCCGACCACGGAAAGGACACTCCCGACAATCCGAAAATGGTCGGAAAGTGCAACTGCGAGCAACTAATGAGAATCGACGCGCAATTGGAAACTAAAGACCTGTGGGAGAAATTCCACGAATTGGGTACAGAAATGATCATCACTAAAACGGGAAGGTACTATCATTTATAATTAATCTAATTTTAAAATAATCGTATAATTAACACATTTAATATTTATAGAATCGCTCTCGACTTACCAAAAAAATTAGTAAATTTAATTAAAAAAAAAAAGACTTCATTGCGAGTAAAATCAATATATAAATCCTTCATTTTTAACAATTAATGACGCTAAATTGAGAATTTCGTATTTGGCAATTTAACATTTAGGAAAATATAAGGAAACTTTTATTAAAATTTTAAAAATTTTATTAATATCAAGTAATATTTTGATGAAACAACGCATATTTATGTTATATAAGTTAGTCAAGTATTCGCTCGCACACGATGGTGGTTCCTTACATTTATCAGTGCTAATTTTTTTTTAAACCAAATATCCGATAAATCGATGATAATTCGTAGATATTATTCTCGTAACATGCGTAAACATTACTACAAATCGAAGCAAATCTCCATAGCGACATCAGGCACTTCCACTATAACAAAGGGACCATTAGTATGAATGGGCCTGTAACCAACGACAATCATCCAGTTCGTTACGGATTTGACGAGATGTTGACAGTGCCGATCTACGCCCCCTCGTGGAAAAGGACAGAACTATTCGTTACTATAAGTCTATAACCCTCTAAATTTATAATTAGATAAGAGAATATACGAAGGACTAAATAAGAAATCCGCCATTTAAATATCTTCTAAACACCGAAACTATTTTAAACATTAACTTGAACTTTCGAAGTAATTCTTACAATTTATTTATATTTATTTAAATATAAAATAAATAAAACAATGCTTTAATATATTATCATCGCTATATTATCCTATTGAATCACGTAACTAAATCCTTCTGGATAGAAAATTTTAAAATAAAAATTCATAAACAATACAAGTAATTAAGCAAATTATTAATTTATGCATAAAGATTTAAAAAAAATAAATAAATAAATAATAAATGTCGATGTGCTGGAAGTAACGTGACAATTTCAAAAATTTCACTAGTCAAAATATAACATACATTAAAAATTTTAGGTTGTTAACGATAGTAACTTTCAACAAATGGCTTCTTCCCACAAATATACTCGACATGTCCGACTGTATTGATTAATGTGGTTGAAACCTAAAGAGTCGCGTGCGATTTGTCACGAGATCATCACGTGTGTGAACGTGATCAAGGTTTCTTTCTCTGATCAACCATCACAGATCATTGAACTTGTTACGAGATTGACTCGACAAATGCAATCAATGTCGCTCTTTTTATCTCGTTTAACTTTAGGATAAAGACAATCTAAAGCCTCGTTTTATAAATTTACCATTCGGAGAATTGACCCTTTGTTTTATTATTTATATATATATATATTTTCCTGGTTTTTTTCGTGTATTTTTTTTTACTCGAATGCATTCTATAATCAACAAATCCTAAATAGAAAATGTCATTATAATAAAGAAATTATTGAAAATTTTGAAAGAAAAATGGATATGTTTGATCTAAAAGATAATTTTTAAGACTAAATATTCAATTTAAATATATTATATAAATTGTAAAATTATAATAAAAACTGATAATTTAAAAACTATTTATAAATAACAGATTTAATTTTGAATTAATTATATATGAATTATACGCAGTTTAGGCTACTTAGTTTTTCGGTTTTGCAATATTTATATAGAATTATTTATATAAAATTAGCTTAGAATTTATTTTTAATACTTAATTTTTATCATTTATAAATAAATATAGGCTTATACTTTTTAAAATTCTTTAAATAAATATTATTATTTAAACGAATTTACAGTACAGTAATTAGAAGTTTATTATTTTAATTGGTGCCAAAAAATTAGTTTTATTATCGTTAAAATTATTATAGGCTAAATCGACATATTAATTTAAGTTTATGTATTATATAAACCTTCAGTTAGCATACTTTTTAAATTAAGTTTCATTAGAATTATTTAAAATTAGCTTAATTATACAGAATTTAAAAAGTTGTTATAACTTTAAATCTTTTATACTAATTAATTTGATTTCCTTGAGTTTATTTAAAAATTAAAATTTTATAGTAAAGTTATTCGATTTTGATGTTTAATTTTAAAGATTTGAAAGTTAAATTTTAGTTTTTAAAAGCTGAGAGGCGAATAAAACATAAAACTAGCATAAAGTAGACGTAGATGTATACAATACAGTACTGTACAGTACAATACATGGGTGCTTAACAATAAATAAAGCTGTGTACGAGTAAAGAAAGCAAACATTTAATTAATCAATTATTTGTAGGGTATAAATTTTATTAATATCAGCTTATAGAATTAAGATAAAACTTTCTTCAATTTATTAAAAGAATTCACATGTTATAGAGAGAAATTAATAATATTTAAAAAAATAAACCTGCAACTTTTATTTATAAATTAAATAATTCTTTAACTAATTAACCATGTCTCCTAAAAATGATTTAATTTACTAGCATATAATCAATTAATTAATATATATTTTTTGTAAATAATGAAATTTAAAATCTGATTTTTGCTAATTTAATCTTCTAACAACATAATACAACACTTATAAAAACTAAATTATGAAATTCTAAAGCCGTTTTACTGTAGAAACCGTAGCATACTCAAGACCTTTTAGGGGGAAAGATTGAGATCGTAAAGGGTCAGAGGAGAGGTTAGGAAAACTACGTCTTAGATAGAGGTCATAGCTACATTTCTACCCTTATTTCAGTGATATATGTGAACATTTCATGTCCACAACTGATTTACTCGCTGCCAGAACAACTTCTTTAATGAACTTTCAGATAAAAGCAATATTCGTGACGATATCTTGCTTCCTTGTTAACACCTGACTCGTCACGATAGTAACAATCCGTGCGTGATTTTAAACAATTAATGGACTCTCTCACGAATGTATTTTTATAGAAAGAATTTCAATTAAATATTCTCAGCTGAACCAATAGATTATAAATATTAAATTATAAGCTATACAACAGAATTTTGCAGGATATTTTATCTGTTAATGATCTCACATATTTCCTGTGCATTTTTAAGCAGAATTTTTATACGTGTCAGTGCATATGATAAGGAGCCACTGTTAATAATCAGTCATTTGCGAGAAAAAATAAAATAAAAAATGGTAAAAATAAGTCGATTTTTAAAATCACACAATAATAAGACTATTGATTCAATTTTCTGTTGTAAAGGCTTGTGTATCGATGTAATCATTTAATAAAATCGATAACATAAAATCGAAAATCTTGTCTATTGTCTCTCATCGTATGCACTGACACATATTGTGAAAAAATATACTCAATTCAGACAATAAATCACTCACATTGGAGAATAATTTGAACTATAAAAATGTGAGTCAAAGTAAAATAAGCGGAACACACGTAAATTAAATTCATAATTACTACATCATTGTACACAATTTCACAAGAACGAAAACAGTACAGCTTTAAAAAAATCAGTACCGAAGGGAGAGGTAATAGGTCACATCATCCATCACCTTCAGGCTAGCTTTATGCCTCTACACACTAGGTAATCCGGCCCTCTGTTCAAGGAATAACCGGATTAGCAAGTATCTATTTTAATATTTTAAATCGAAATAAATGAAATTAATTATTGTATTATAATAATCAAAATGATATTAAAATGGCGACAAGTATTTTATTTGTTTTTTTTTTTTTCTTTTCTTTAAAATTATTTTATTAATGAATCTACATTTCAAATCATACTTTAAACATTGTGTTTTTCTTAAATTAACTCTTCAAGGAATTTTGTTCTTAATTCTTGATTCATTTAGTTATCATAATTATTAATTTTATAAATTATTTGGAAATAGCTAAAAAGTAAATTAACTTATTAGCTAAGATTATATACTTTAGTTTTAGTTCATAAAAATATCTTTCAGTTAATTATGAAAAATTTAAATGGAATAGACTTTAGCTTTAAAGGACGATGAATATAATTAGAAAGTTGCTTTTACATCTGTTATATTTAATAGCGAACAGGAGGAAGCGACTAGTATTGAAAATCGACATAGCTCATTTCCTTTGATCTGCTTCTTCCCTAATTAATATTCTCATTAATTATCAATACAAACGAGGAACTAGTGAATAAATCTTATTGCTGGATCTATTCCGGAAAATGAGACGATTAGCTAGTGAGAGCGAAAGTTGAGAGATGAAACTTCCGAATAATTTGCGAAAAGCGGGAGAGATCATTTGCATGAGAAAGAGGAATGCCGCTACAATAGGGTAAAATAACTAAAAATAGATCTACACATTATCATTTCTAATATAGGCTATATATATTTAAAAAATCCCATATTTCCAATTCATTTTCTCAAATAAATTTCACTTTAAATTTATAGAAAAATTTTAATGTTTATTTAATAAATATGTAACATCCGAAATTTATAACATCCTTAGTTTATAAAATACAGATAAATCCAAAAAAACATTCTAAAATCCATACAGAAGAAGGAGTAGAACAAACTCAGAGATTATTTACTACTAATGCAGTAGTTTTATGAAAAAGTTACTATCCAAACAGTTTGTAGAGAATCATTCGAAAAGTAGTTTGTAGTTTCAATCCGAAACAAATTACAGATTAATTAACTACGCTACATATAGATAAAAAAAGAAAACGATGAAGAGAATGGTCTAGCAGATGCAATCTGTATCAACTGCTTAATAAGGCGGGAAAGTAAAAATAGCTTTTGGCTCATTTATTATAGAAAAGAACCCAATAGGGAATATCGATCGAAAGTTCGCTTTAATCAGCAGTAGCAATGGATTTACCATTTCATTTTCCTATTAACTGCTACTGATACTCGAGATTAAATTCCGCTTAAAGAATAAATATAAAGGTGACATAAATTTTTTTGCCATTGAGACATTACAGTTTATTTAATTAATAGTTAAGGATTTTGTAGTGACATTTTGATTTAATATTTCTGAATTTTTCAGGATTTATAGATTGATATTTAACTCATTCGAAAACATTTTAATCGATATTTAT